CTCCTCCGTCTCTCTCTCTCGCTGCTTCCATTCCTCTCCCGGTCTCCTCTGCGAGTGCGCCATTGCGGCGACCGCAATTTGGCCCGGGAGCCTCGTATTTTCAATTAATGTTTCCTTCAAACGAACTAGCGTGATCAACGAAATGTTCCACGTTTCAACAGAATAAAGAATAACATTTCGCCGTTTGCTGACAGTATATATTGAAAAAAAAATTGAGTAATTGCGACAAATGATGGCGACTTATATATAAACAGTCAGAAAATCTCGTTACAGCGATATTTCTCGGATTACACGTTTCGAAAGATACCGTTGAAAATCCGATTCCATATTATATGAATAATCTAAATATAATGGAGCATTTCAAATTCAATTTAGAAACACGCTGCAATCAGATCTCGCTACGCGCGTCGCGTAGCATTTCAAGATGCATTTACCTTTTATATAGTTGCGAAATTTAAGGTCAGTGTATAATAATGTGAAAGATGACAAGGCTGCGCGAGAGCACTATTACGCATCATTATAATAGACACTGCAAACATGATAGGAGACATAAGGCACGCTCGCTTCACTTAATGCAGTTGCTGTCATTATCGTGCACTAACTGCTCATTATATCGTAATAAGCGCCCAATACATCTGCATGTATTATACGTGTTCACGCGGAAACGGGTCGCGAACTAATGCGAACCCATTGGACGTAATTACGCTACCTGTTACGTGGAAACTCGTAGCCGGCATCAAGATCACATCGTGCAACTTCGATTCGGTTAATCGTGGAAGATGAATCCGGCGTCGATGGTACCGCGGAGACGTACATTTAGGAGTAATTCGAAGGTTCCATTAAATTTTATCAATTTTCTGAAGCTATAGATAGTGGATGATAATTTTTTCCACGGCCCTTTCTCGCTTTTTTAAGGAAATGAAAAATCGATTGATATTCCCAATATCGTTTTTAATTTTCTATCTTTGTGTTATTAACTCGCCGCCTGCAATCATATTTTCATTCTCTATCTGCGTCCGGATCTTTTTTGTCTAATCCAAGTTTTTTTTACTGTTATAAACTTTCAAAAAATATGGGAGGTTGAGGATTACTTTTCAATATCTCTACATTGAGAAAAAATGTACTAAATTTTAACAAATATTTATTTGAATAGTATCAATTTAATTTAACATTTATTTACAGTAAACATTCACGAAATAAAAAAATTATACAATAGTTAAATTAATGATTTTTGTACCAAGTAAATATACGTTTATATTTAGTAAATATTCAGCTAGTATTATTTAAACAAATATTTGGTAAAATTTAATATATTTTTCCCTCGGTGTATTACAAGATATTTACAAGATATTTTAGGAGAGAAAACAGACTCTGTTCTTCTTTATTTTTACAAGAAATTCGAGAGTGAAATTTTGCTTGTGTCAACAAAGACCCAAAGATGCAGATGGTGGGTTAATCAATAACGTAGCCAAATCAAAAATTAATTTTTTATCTATCATTATGTATTTACGATGAATTTGAGAGTAAGCATTAATTTTGTTTTTATCATTTAAGCTCGATTACGATTAAATGTTTTACGCTGTACGCTTCATTTACAGGAAACATTTAACATTATCTTGATTAAATATTTAGTGAATGAATGCACCGCCCGAAACTAGCTTTAATCGGTGCACTTTAGATTATTCCTATGTCGTTTGCAGGACCATACGAAATTATTTTATGCTAGTGGAAATACGCATTTAGAATTTGAAAAAAAATTTTTAATGAAACCTATAAACTTAGTGGTACGTCGAATCGTAATGATATTGCGAAACAAACTGAGAATCGATATCATTCTGTGAAAAATAAAACTGAAGCTTCGTACTTTATATATAGAAAATTCCAACAGAATGCCATTGCAAAAAAGACAAAATTTAACCCGCGAATGCTATTGTTATTGAATGATATGGTAATGCTATCGATATGTAAATTTTACGTATAAGGTCTTTTTTTAATTAATGTAACACAAGTTTTTCATACACTTCACATTTTTAATGCTCTAATATTTATAATCTAGATTTTTATAAATACAAATAACTTATTTATTAACTTAAAAAAAAAAGAACGAATTATTAAATTTAGTCTTAAAATAATATGAAGTAGATATGTAGTCCATTTATGTGTGTCTCCTCCTAACACTTAAATAAAATATATGATAACACAAAAAACTGCTTAAAAATTAAAACTCACGCTTTCTGTTATAATACCGACCATTAGGGAATCCAAACTGACATATAACGGACAGAATTTTTAAAAATAGAATTTTTTTGTCTCCACTTGTCCTAGTTTTTGACATGGCAGATCAGACTTCGTAATGACTAAAAACATAGTTTAGCGACCTTACTCACATCTACGTAAAATTTACGTATCGATAACATTCTAGGGTTGAATAACATGAACCGAATCTCGCCATTTTGATTCTCAATATTTTATTCGCGTTGATTGCATCCCAAGAAAAACAGTGAAAGAGACAGATAGGGGAGTGTGTTTGCGATGACGAGACGTTCCGCGTAGCACGAAATACCTATCTACTCTTCTCTCGAAGCCATTCATATTCATAGAAGTCATTAAACGCGATTTCCGAAGATAGCCGAGTTGATGGGTACGAGATCGCGCTGGCGGACTTTTCTCGGCGAGATTAGATCAACGGAACAAATATTTGAGAGCTCTCGTTGCGGTGAGACTCTGTCTTTGCGCGCTCTCTTCATCCTCCTTGCTCTTCGATATCCACTCCGCATGAAAACCTGCTCGTCCGTAGAGCGAAACTTCGCCGTCTAAGTTTTCGAGTCTTAACATCGATTCGAGGGGAGTGGCTCGACTCTCGGTGCGGCCCGAGAATAAATCGCGCCACGTTTGTGAATGCTTCATGACTTTCGGAGTTTCGTCTGCTCAGTGTCTGTCAAATAAATAATCCCTCCGCGGGATTGGGATCTGTGAAATTTGCACGACATTTTATATTAACATGGAAAAACAATTACAATCCATTAGCACTTTTCATTGTTCTACAGTTCTACATAAAAATAATTATACGAAAAACCAAAAATGAAAGTATATTACCCGTATCAGATTACCGACCCGACTGCCAACTCTGACTGCCGACCAACAATGGATAATAAGATTTATGATTCAATGTGATTGGTCCATTATTGGTCTGCAGTTAGAGTTGGCAGTCGAGTCGGCTTGCAGAGTCGGTAGTCTGATACGGGCTTATGTTAACTTCGCGAACCTGGCACATCCTTCTCTAAAGTAAAAGGAAACAATAAATATTATCACTCTTTTCGCAGGTTCCAATTTGAAAACGAAATTCTAATAATTATTAATTTTTTATTCACTTTGAATATTAAACACAGCACTTGGAGATAAAGTGTCGTACTGATTATTTATCGCAATTCTAGCGACATTATTCTATTTCTTTGTTTTCTGTCGTCTAAGAGGAAAGTTGACGAACTTTGGAAGACACAAGACACACGTGACAAGGAACACAATTACTCGTTGATAAAACGAGGAGAGAAAAAAGCAAGAGAAAAAAAGCAAAAATAGGAAGAAACACATTGTAGATCAGCTTTAAGAAATGAAAATGACACTTGATCATGTTGAGAAATTTTTTTGCCGATATTATTTGATTATTCAATAATCTTCTATCAAATTGAAAAATAGTTTTTCTCCTTTTATAGGAAACCGAATTTTTCAGTTACGTCACTTTTGAACTAAGGGAGGGATATATGTAACGTGATGTCAAATAAGTGTCGAGTAAGATCAGTGCGATAGCATCTGTCCGTTGCCATTCTAACATTGAATATTGGATTTCAGTACTTAACGATTTAGTGGCAACCAATAGACATTTGGAAATCCGCGGTGAGCACATTGTTGTCAGGCTCGGTAGCCTAATTAATGCAATCTGCAGACGATCCGGCTTACGTTTACCTTGTTTGGCGCTGGCTGTCGTGATACGTAAACTCGCAGCAGAGTTACCGCCCTCGAGACTCTGTGGTGTTCGATATACGTTTCGACGCTGTCAAATCGCTGTCAAATTATAATTCAATTCCAAGTTCAGATTATCGGTTATTCCTCTCTCTTTTAGACACCAAGATATCTTGTAGCTATCGAGGAGTCATCAAAGTGGCAATGTGAGTCTGCTGTGACAGTGATTCCGCAAAATCGAAATTAAACATTAAGGAGATTCTAAAGCAAAGGCTAAACTCTAACAATGTCGGTAAAACAGATTTTAATTTCAAACTAAAAATATCAATAATAGTGATGTTTTTAATTCAGTTTCTTGCATTATCATTTTGTCTCATTCAAACATCTGTCCTTGTCTAATATACTGCATGTAGCGCTATATCTTGCAAGATCCAGCATCACTATTATATGCAATATTGCTCTATTTACATTTATAAAACATAATTCTTTTTTTCTAAACTTTTAATCTTAATTCCTTTACGATAATGTCCGCGTACGATATTGTCTCTATGGCGAGACCATCTTATTTTGTACATATAAATTGTAGAATTTTTGTATTAAGCAGATATTGTCGTCGAATGACAAGTCGATGTTTGCAATAGCTATTTTTGTGCGTATTTTAATCATGTACAAGAATTTGGCAATTCTGTAAAAACGATTCGAAAATGTTTTGGAATTACGAAATATTGATAATTTGCTTTACTTTAGGATCTCACTAAAAACTGCATACTGATGCGATCGACGTAAATAAAGCCATCATGATTAACCAAAACCAATCAGTACCACATAAATTTTGCGTGTAACGTATAATGGCCAACTAAACCTCCGAATAGGATACCATCCAAAGTGCAAACTGACTGACTGACCAACCCATTGTGAATTCGGTAAAGCCGACAATGGCCCATACAATTACGCTGAAAATTACGCTGCGTTTGCGTCAGTCGATGTGCTATCAGTTAATTCCTTGAACTAATTCGATCAATGTTGACTTGCTGTTCCAGCTGGACAGGTTCAAAGAGCCACCGGCGTTCGGGCCAATGTGTGATCTCCTCTGGTCGGATCCTCTCGAGGACTTCGGCAACGAGAAGAACGCGGAACACTTTTCCCACAATAGTGTCAGGGGTTGTTCATACTTTTACAGGTGAGTGTCCGTTTCAACCTCTTTTTAAATTCTTTTAACTTGTTAAATTGCGGGTAACATGCGTAATAGAAATTCTAACATACGACTAGGAAGATTTGGACGTGCAGAATCGGATTTTTCTAACTTATTTCAATGTGATATATACATTTTTAATTATATTCTGTGAATGGAATTGCATTTTTCTAAAGTGGAGAAAAGCACTGTAGATTAAATATCATACAGTAAAGAACGGTTTTGTTAAGATATCTAAAAATTTCGCTAAATATAGATCTGAAAATAATTTTGTTAAATCATCAAAATAATTATATAGAATTCTTAAATGTCGATAACAATGCTGCAAAAAGGTTCAATATTCCAACAACCAACTTGAACCAACGTCCTACATATCCAGTCTCGAATTAAAACTTTATTAAAATAAAGTCTATTTTAAACTAACTGAAACAATATGATGAATGATTGATCATATTATATCTTTTTTTTGTTTCTGAACTCTTTTCAGAAAACTCATTTTTAAAAGACTACTCTTATAAAATATGTAATCAATGCCTAAATTAAATCGAACAATTAACAAAAGAAAGGTAAGAAACATGAATACAACAGCTTTTTCTTTCTGGCAGTATTTTATTTATCACATACAAACAAAATTATCTGGGTTAAATAACGATATTTCATTAAGCCATACTGCCAATAAAAAAAGTATTTAAAAAGGATCCAATAAAATTGGAAATATCAGAAAATGCAATTACAATACTTTTCGTCGGGGTCGTCGATATATCGGAGGGACACGTCGATACCATGGTGTTAACATAATAATAAAGGACATATTAGCGGAGAAAAGAAAAAACGAGGTCAACACCCCATCACTACCCGGTAGTAGTCGGAGTTCTTTTTGCCGCAGAAATACGATATGCTTGTGCGATACATCTCGCGGCTGTCGCCGGTCGGTTCTCGTTTTTCCTTTCTAGCCAACCCGTTAACTCCCTCCAACGGGTAATTATCTCGCCGTCTGTTTGCAAGCAGTGCAGCCGGAAGCGCGTTGGCCACATCCCTCGCACGATCACACAGCGTGAAACGAGATAACTTTGGCTCCTCCGACCCTTCTATGTCTGAGAGATTTTCCTTCTCCGCCAAATCTTCCTACGAACGTCACGTTCGGTCCCTCGTCGCGTCGCTCTTTGTCAGCGTCCGCGGACACACCCGTGGTTTGCCCCGTGCAAGGATTAATAACGACCGTGTTATACGACGGTGTCAGCAAACCGCAGACATGACAGCTCCTCTCGCGGATCCGCTAATTATACGAACGGCTACGTTAATAAGAACCGAGATTCGTTAAGTGTCAGCCGTTACTCGTTACGTATTCATCACGTTTACGTACGTGCCATATACGTTGACGAAGTAATACGTTAAATTCTGGAAAAACGCGTTTTATATTTCTCCGCGATCTTATGCGATCCTTCAGTAACAAATTAATATTAAATATCTTTATTATCACTCCCGATTGTTGCCAAAGGTTGGCGTAACAAAAAGAATAATGAAAAGTATGCGTTTCACTGATTGTTTTACTCGATTCGATTGTTAATTGTTATCTTATTTGTTGTTAACTACAACAATCTAATATCAATTTTTACACACAAGTTTTTTTATTAAGCAAGCTTAGTTTAAAATAGTTTAAAACGCACAGTGAAAAAAGTTTCTAATTGAAAACGAACAAATCAGAAGAGTCTAGCCATATCAATCAGAATTCTAGTTATTCAAATAAAATTATAATAGTCAACCAGAAAATTCTGATTTGTCCATTCCAATTGATGCAATCAATTTCTTTTTCCAATGTATAATTATCATTAATTCTTTTGTTTAAAAAAAGTAGAAAAATGATATTTTATCTGTGCATTCTCTCATTGGCTGTTTGATGAGTTAAGAAATAAAATAATTATACCAATTATATGCATTGAAAGCATTTACATAGGAAATTTTAATTACTCACGGTTGTAAGACATCTCGAAGTAACAATTAGTACAAAATAAGTTAGTTTAAGCCTTCTTGCGTCCACGATCTTAAAAATCGAGATTTCAGATGGAGAAAGAATTAATATATTGCATTCGAACAATTCGACTATTCATTAATTTAATTAATAAATTCTTTATAACGTTTTTTAATAAATAATAAATTCTTTCTCCGTCCGGATCTCAAAGCGATTTCTGGCATCGTGGAAAAGGCATCTTTGAAAAATAAGGTTGTCGTAAATGTACACGTCGGGAGATGCCAAATTACTGTTTCTCTACCACATTTTTATTATTATAAAAATTCTGTATTTAAGCTGTTTAACTGTTGTAGTTTCATACTTGACATGGCGCTTCCTGACAGCTTTTTCAAAATGTGGAATTAATTATAGTGTAAATAACAGAGTATTTTACTACGAAATTTAAAAGTCTTTAAATCACTGCATACAATGTACTACATATACATATATATATAATAAGAATAAATTAAAATATGTAATCTGGTTTTTCTGTTATACTTTTAATTAATATTTACTAATAATGTGTCAGTTATATTAGTTTATAATTAATATTATTTTAAACTTCAATTATTAAGTCTTTAATTTTTAATTTAAATTTTTTAATATTGTGTTTTCACTAAATTGTTTTTATTTTACTTTTATTTTCTATATTTCTCTATAATTTAATGTTGACGCGGCACGTTACGTCATCAAAGAATCGTACACGGAAAGAATGATTTTGCTGAGGTATCTAAAAATTTAACTAGGTACAAATCTGAAAATAACTTTATTCGATCATTAAAATAATTATGTAGGAAATTCAAGCAAGACAAACGAGGCTGCAAATAATTTTGACATTTTAACGATTAGTTTGAGCGTTCTACATAATTATTTTGAAAAACCAAGAAAATTATTTTCAGATCTGCGTGTAGTTAATTTTTTAGACACTTCAGCGAAGCCAACCGTGTACGTGTCGGTATTCCTCGAGTAACAGCGGCAGAAATGTTAGAAAGTTGATTTATTGAGGCGATTTTCATAATCAAGTTGTTCATTGATATATACGTGGATGTGGCACAGACGATCGCGATTACGATAAGATAATAGTGGCCGTTATGAAGACGTTCTAGATAGCACCAGTCCGTTAATCCCTTATTTTCGATTCTCGCATTATCGTGTCTTGTTCCTGGATAGATACGTGCATTAAGTTTCACGCGAACATAAATCACATCTCGCGTCTCGAGCAGTATGCAAGTAGTCCGGCTGTAATCGCCGGCGGTCGTCCGACTACACCGCGACTCGTACTACTCACCCTTCCTCCCTCCAACGTCTGACTCGTAATGAAGCTGCTGATTACTCCCTGCCATCCCTTAATGACCCGAAGTGGCTGTACGCTGTTACGGCGAGAAAACGGAACACACATCTTGCGCACTGCGATATAACGTCCTATCGTTAAATAAATCATCTTATCGTCGCACCCGGGATGTGTGCGTATCGAAGATTCAACGACCCAGAGATCGATACCGGGCCACATTGGCGAGCGGCGCGGTTTTCGAGAGATTTCACCTCATCATTAATCTCTGTCGGCGCTATGAACGGGTCTTAATGGCCGTTAACGACCATGCCGCGACGTGGCGCACACATTTCTCACGATTCTTGGCCGAGTCAGTTATGCCACTGCGAAAAGGATCGTCCTGTTGACGTTTTCGGCGGCATAATTTGTTTATGTGAACCCGAAAGTCGGTACGCCAATAACGTCCGTCATCCAGTGTACGATTGGCAGGGATGGATGGGACATTAAAAGCTACATCGCACAAAAGACTCGAATACCTCTAACTTGCATTAACAGCGAACGTAGCAGTCTGATGCCGAAGCTTCGAGTAATCTCAGAAATTAACTCGACTACAATATTTAGAACACTCCAACAATTTTGTACAAATTCACAGAATTGCATACAAAAAGTTGTACGAGTCGTTCCCGACAAGTTAAGATTGATCATTTGGCGCCCGTGCAATTGTTTCCAATGCATGTGCCAAAAGCGCGTTACGACGTTAATCTAGGTCGCGATTTTAAGATACACGAATTTCCCGACATGAATATTCGCGCGTCGGTGGCTGCCTCACGAACGCTTATGAAACTTACACGCTTCAAAGGAGAATATTAAGTTTTGGCTGTTTTTGGCTAACATGAAAAAGTTCCATGGTGTACAAATTATACATCGTACTAAAGAGCTACTTAAACTAGGATATTTTTACACCCCAGAGGCGAAAAATGTCGAAAGTTCATTATTTTACACTGTTAGATATCAAAGGAACAATGGAATGAAAATAACCCCTTGGGTTAAATAACATTTTGTTATTTTTAACTTCCACCTGTGTCAAAATGTAAATCAATCCATTTCTGTAATAAGTTTTCAAAGTAAATATCGTTTATATTAACGTTTAAACTTAATAAATAATATAATTTAAATTTTAGTCCAATTACATTCTCTTGAGTTAAATTGTTTTAACTTTATTGTTTTAGTCCAATTATTAGGTAGGAACAGTGGTAACTTATAGAAATTATTAAAAATAACTCGGACTTTCTGTCGCTTATCAATTGCTCAAAAATCGCCGAGTTATTCATATTTAAGTAATAATACAATTTTTGTTGCTTAATTCCCGGGATGTCTTGATGTCCTACTCAACAACTTTTTATTAGTAAATGTGATGATGTTAAATTTATTGTTTTTTATCACGATTTCTCTCATGTTCCTGATGTTTCCCCCAAGATAAACGATAGACCACTCAATTTCGCTTAAATAATCTATTAATTATTAAACTATTAATTATAATTAATATGCTATACATGTATAATTTATACATCGTAGAACTTCTCCAAGTTAGACGAAAAACTTAATATTTTCCTTTTGCTACGGAATTTACTTAGAAAGCGTTCTTTTAAAATGTTAAAAATTTTGGCGTTCTATTAAAATGTTTAAAGACCGAGTCATTTACGCTACCACGGCAATTTCCATGTTATTCATTAGTGCTAAATCCATTTAATAATATAACCGAATTAACGTGCCCGCTCGTACGCTCGGATAATTCTCTTAACAGTAATTATCGGCAATCAAGCTCTCTCCCAATCTTTAAGCGGTCGATCGATAATGTCTGCTTGCAGTTACGCGGCGTGTTGCGACTTTCTGCAAAACAACAATTTGCTCAGCATCATAAGGGCGCACGAGGCTCAAGACGCCGGATATCGCATGTATCGAAAGTCTCAGACGACGGGCTTCCCGTCGCTCATCACCATCTTTAGCGCGCCCAACTATCTCGACGTGTACAACAACAAGGTAAAAGCCAATAGCGCACGAATCGCATCACGCCAGTCGCAATAACCATAAACTTCGACATTAATTTAATGTCGCACATTTATGGTCAGTGCGGGGCGCGTCGTTGTTCGTTTTATGACCTGTGGACCGCTGGTCTGCAATCGTAAAGACCCGATGTGCTCGTTGTGCTTGCAGGCAGCGGTTTTAAAGTACGAGAACAACGTGATGAATATCAGGCAGTTCAATTGCTCGCCACACCCATACTGGTTGCCCAATTTCATGGACGTTTTCACATGGTCCCTACCGTTTGTCGGCGAGAAAGGTAAGTCGTAGACCAACAAGACGTTTGCTTTTATGTTAAAAATTATTACATACTGTAAAAAAAAAAGTAATTAAAATTATATAAATTATGTCTAAAAGTTACACAATTTATAGTGGAAATGTATAAAATTATTCGTTTTTATAAAAATTAAATTTTTACTTCTAGTTATATAAATATATCTTTATATTAGATACGAAAATAACAGTATATTTTATAGTTTCTATGTAAATGTACAAACTTTTGTAATATTTCATAACTTACAGATAATATACCACACATATTATATTTGCATTTTTATGTTTGTATCAATAACATAGCTTACACAAAATTGTATCTAATTTATTGGCAAATTAATACATAAATGTTTATAAACTCAATTTAAATTTTCCTTTGTGAATTGTTCTATCACAGAATATAATTGTATTTTTTAATTGTGACTTTACGTGTGTGTGCGTACGTGCGTGCGTGTGTAAATATTACCAAATGAATTTTTCTCTTGATTCACTATTAAAGATATTGTATATCTGTTTATATATGCAAACATAAATCACTCATTATAAAGTAAAAATTACTTATAATTGAAGAAATGGGCGGAATAAAGGTCTAATTACAAAATCTTGATATTAATAAAAATTAAAATAACTTACTACTTTTTTATTATACACAAATGGGTACAATATTAAATGAATTTATGTAATGTCTTTAAGAAGTTAAATGTTACAGTACTTTTCTATTACGATCAATAATACATGAAAAAGCTAATTACCGGAAAAAGGGCCTAAGTAGAAAGAATTGTGCCTTTATCCCGCCCATCCTCTCAATTGTCAAAATTCAAATACTAATTAAAATTGTTATACGTACAGTAATTTGTTTACAGTGTATTTTCACATGATATGTCTTGCTTAGTAAAGAGTTCTCTAATGTTCATAAATCGATTTATATATCTAGAAGAAAAAATATGAAAAAAATATTTATGTAATAATTTAGATGGAAAAGAGATACATATTTGAGATAATTTGTTTAGTCGATTGCAAGATGTGTTTTACTCGGAATTGAATGGAGAATTTTTTATTTTATCTTTCAGTCACAGAAATGTTGGTGAACGTGCTGAACATTTGCTCGGACGACGAGCTGATGAGCGACGGTGATGACGCGCTCGAGGAAGGTAATGTCTATCATCTAGCTCTTATTTCCCACCTTAATCCGTATACACACTATTACTTTGCAGATGTTTCGAACAAGATCGGCTCTCAGACTGGTCGCTCTTATATCGTGATCAGAGTCTCTCTTCTTTTATCCTTTTTACTTCGGGGTTTATTCTTGAGTTTTACGGTGTCTGAGTTTTACTTATCTAATACAAAAATCGTGCAAAGAGTCACGAAACGAGGATTATCGCGTTTGTTAAATACGCGACAGAAACACTCGTTCTCATCTCAATCATCTTGCAGAAATCAGAAAAATGTTCGTTTATTTAGAAATCTGCGATTATGCAATCGCATGCAAACAATCGTGCACTCTAAAAGATGTCGGTGTGGATTTAACATATCGTGATGTCTCTAGAAAACAATATGTGAATTAAATCAATCAATTAATTTATTAATCTAATCATTTTTACTGATATATCAAAGTATTGAATGCTTATTTATATAATTCTAACCGTGTTATATTAATATTTATGTGGATTTAAAACCCATGGTATTAAATTTACATCATGTTGGTGTTAATATAATATTAACACGATGAGAACTAAATAAGAAAAATCGTATATTCGGTCAAAGCGGATCTTAGTGCTTAAATATTTCTATATGAATTTATATATCTGATTCTGCAAATCGCGCGTTGAAATCTTTTTTGATCTTGAAATACAGTACATATATAAGTAATACCTATTAAATTGACAATCAATTTAATAATTTTTTACGTTAAGCATATTCTTATAAGAATATTAATAATCTAATAATGAAAATCAGTCTCTGAATTCATTGCAAAAAATTATCATGTACACGGAGAAAATTTTCTTTTAAAATTTACCCTGAAAATATGGTGATTGTGGTACAATACAATATTTTAAAGGTTTTTACCATGCACTTCAGTAAAATTGATCAAACTTATTTTATACTTTATTGTAGTTTTATTAATATGAATGAGAGAGATTTATATTAAAATTCTTCGAAATACAATGTTGTTCCACGGCTGTCATATTTTCAGGGTAAATTCTAAGAAAAAATTCTCTCCGGGTATAGACATCGTATGGTATTAAATCCAAATCGATATTTTTAGAGTGCGAAGAAGATGTGTTTCTTCAATTCCTTCGATCGGGTTCTCGATTAAATCTCATCTTCGGTAAATTCATTTCGTTTCGAGATGCACTCGGATAGCCGCGACGAGAGATGAAACACGGTTTCAATCTTATCCGTCACTTCGAGGACAGCTGGACGGACGAGTGCACGATAAGACGGGCCCGAGATGCCGTTAATATCTGGAATCTCTTACAAGCTCCGACACGATCTAAGAGAGGCCACGTCATCTTCGTGCACGGGGGAGAATGCGTGGATTCATCCCTCATGTCCTGCCGCGTGCCGAACCGATAGAAAAGAGTTGGACACAATCTAACGATGAAAAATGGATCGGGAACACCCCCCTCATTCTATGAATCGTCGCATTCTCCGCCAAAAAGGAAGATCGATTGTGCACGTGCGCCCGGATTGGATAATAGTGAGCGCGAATTTTACAAAGAATTGCTCGACTGTTCATTTTCATCGCATCGATGAAAGTTGAAACATGCCGTTAATTTTTCGTTCGATCGCTTTTAATTTAACGCGATTTTGAACGAAAGCGGCGAAGCTTCAGCGTGTTTTTTTTTTTTTTATTTTAGTTCGCCTAGCAGACAAATTTCACGCGCACGATCGATCCGCCAGTTAACTTCCATCGTCAATTTTTTCGATCGTTTGATTTCGACGGCACCTGCGAATTTCTACGCATTCTAAATATTCTTATAGATATCCCTACGATTCACACGATTAGATGTTCGCGCACCTCTCTTATAATAAAATTCACCTTCTCAAGCGAAAGTTAAAAAAAAAATGATTGGCGCGCAATTTCCCGAATATTCATCGATAAGAGTAGTTTGTTGATTTGAAAAAAAGAAAATATGTCTCTATCACCTCACCTCCCCCACGATCTCACTCTTGTAACTTCCAGAGACAAATCTTGAATTCTCTTTCTGTTTGCATTTTCACTCGCTGCACGGACAGATGGTAAGAAACGCCGCTCGATTCTTCTAGACGTCACACGATTAAGAGCTTCATTGATTATCATTAATTTTTTAGCTATTTTCATAGTAGTTTCTCGATGTCGAGTTTCTCTTTCTCTCTGTTTCTCTATCTATCTTTCTCTTCCTCCGTATTTTTCTTTCTTTATTATCGTCTTCTATTTTTTTTTTTTTTTCCTTTATCCGTATCGTCGTATTCGTTGGAAGGAGAAGAACGTACGTACGTTCGAGTCTATTTCTTTCTTCTCTCTTTTCTTCTTTTATCTTCCGTTCTGTATGATATCCATGCGCGTAATATATATGCGTGTACATATATATAATATATATACATATTTACTATTTTTCTATATATTTTTTCTCTTTATCTTTGGCCATCTGTTTCACGGTACTCACAATTTCTCGCATCGAGGTACGAGGTTCTTTTTCTTTTCTTTTTTTCTCTCTCTTTCTCTTTCTCTCTCCGTATCTGCTCCATATCTGCTCTTCTTGGCATTTTTATTTTCACTTCCCGATTACGTATAAACATGTATGTGTGTAATACATATTCAACGTGTCACGACGGCACATATAGCCTGGATTTTTACATCTTCAACGGTAGACTTTGATTTTCTGCATCATTATACTCATAGCATCTTCACCCTGTCTCCATACGTTTGTTCAAGATGGCACGATCCCTTTGCTTGTTTCTCAAAGCACGTATATAAGTATTTCGCGAGGGTCTTGAGCTTTACGAGTTCAAAGTACTTTTTCAGCTCGAAGCTTAATCGAGCTGAAAGATTCATCATTTTGCCATCTTGCGCATCGCGCAATTAATTTAATTCACGCATGCATCGCAGCGATCGGGTAAGATAACGCTATAAAATCGTCATTCCACCTCTCGTCTTAATTATTTTTCAAAGTTACTCGGGAAATATATCTCCAGATCGATATTTTTTATTTGTCATTTCGTTTTACTCCGATCGACTCTACCACTCTGTCCGAGTTCCATAGTCAGTTTCAATTTCACGTGTGTCAATTTCATGTCCATCCCACCCCCCGCTGGCCTATTCTGTTTACTTTCTTTTTCTTTCTCGTATATTTCACACATGTATATGTATAATCACTCTGCCCCCTTCGTCCCTACGTATGGAAAGCTAAAAGAAAAAATTACAATCTTTTTTCCGGCGGATGGAGCCTTGCAACCTGTAATAATCGTGAACTTTTTTTTTCCCTCGTCGCGATTCGTCGCGCTTTGAATAAATCGAACGTCGCCGTCGAGTCCTCAAGATTAAAGACGTATATATTTTTTTATCGACCTGTGTCGGCTAAGCTATCGTCGATTAATTTTACATTCGTCCACGTGCGCCCGAGAAGGAGACATCGGTTAATTCATTCCCGCAATTCGCGGCACGTCGGAAGGTCAGATCGATACGCCGGTGTCAGCACGGACAGTGCAGATGGTCACCAGGTCTAACAAGTATCCATCCACCGGGCCCGAGTCCAAAAGCTCCGAAAGAAAGTCGAGCAGCCCCCTCACCGCTCCCACTGAAGCCGTCTCGCAGAGAACGCGCTCGCGAGACCGTTTTTCCCGGCTTGTTGCGGTTAGGTCGCTCTGATCGAAAAAAAAAGGGAAAAAAAAAGAGTTCAAACAGAGAGTCCCGGTGTTTCGATCAATAAAGACACCCTCGGCCCCTCCTGCACCCCTC